TCCTGAACACCAGTGACATGACTAACAGCTCTTCTGCCCACCAGTGACATGACTAACAGTTCTCCTGACCACCAGTAACATGACTGACAGCACTAGCAGCTCTCCTGAACACCAGAGACATGACTAACTGCTCTCCTGACCACCAGTGACATGACTGACAGCACTAGCAGCTCTCCTAACCACCAGTGACATGACTAACATTAAACCGTCTTCTGACAGAACCAGTGACATAGACTGACCAGCACTAGCAGCTACCTAAACCACCAGTGGACCAGACAAGCTCTCCTGACCACCAGTGACATGACTAACAGCTCTCCTGACAACCAGTGACATGACTGATAGCACTAACAGCTCTCCTGACCACCAGTGACATGACTAAGCTCTTCTGACCACCAGTGACATGACTGACAGCACTAAGAGCTTTCCTGACCACCAATGACATGAGTGACAACACTAACAGCTCTCCTGAACACCAGTGACATGACTAACAGCTCTTCTGACCACCAGTGACATGATTAAGCTCTCCTGACCACCAGTGACATGACTAACAGCACTAACAGCTCTCCTGACCACCAGTGACATGACTGACAGCACTAACAGCTCTCCTGACCACCAGTGACATGACTGACAGCACTAATAGCTCTTCTGACCACCAGTGACATGACTAAGCTCTTCTGACCACCAGTGACATGACTGACAGCACTAATAGCTCTCCTGACCACCAGTGACATTTGTGACAGCACTAACAGGTCCACTGATCACCAGTGACATGAATGACAACACTAACAGCTATCCTGACACCATGTGAGACATGACTAACAGCTCTTTGACCACCTGTGACATGACGACAGCACTAACAGCTCTCCTGACCACCTGTGACATGACTGGACAAGCACTACAGCTCTCTGACAACCAGTGAATGACTGACAGCACTTTTTAATAGCTCTTCTGACCACCAGTGACATGACTAAGCTCTTCTGACCACCAGTGACATGACTGACAGCACTAATAGCTCTCCTGACCACCAGTGATATTGGTGACAGCACTAACAGGTCCACTGATCACCAGTGACATGACTGACAGCACTAACAGCTCTCCTGGCCACCAGTGACATGATAAGCTCTTTATGCCCCAGTGACATGATGACGACATAACAGCTTTTCCTGACCACTAGTGACATGTGTGGACAACACAACAGCTTCTCCTGAACATCCAGTGACATGGACTAACAGCTCTTCTGACCACCAGTGACATGACTGACAGCACTAACAGTTCTCCTGACCAGTGACATGACTAACAGCTCTCCTGACCACCAGTACCATGACTGACAACACTAACAGCTCTCCTGAACACCAGTGACATGACTAACAGCTCTTCTGACCACCAGTGACATGACTGACAGCACTAACAGTTCTCCTGACCACCAGTGACATGACTAACAGCTCTCCTAACCACCAGTGACATTGGTGACAGCACTAAACAGCCTCTCCTGAAACACCAGAAAACTGACTATGACTACAGCTCTTTTTGATCCACCAGTAACATGACTGAAGCACTAACAGTTCTCCTGACCACCAGTGGACATGACTAAGCTCTTCTGACACCCGTGACATGGGTGGGTGGAAACTGACAACACTAAACAGCTCTCCTGAAACCAGGGGGCACATGACTAACAGCTCTCCTGACCACCAGTGACATGACTGACAGCACTAGCATCTCTCCTGACCACCAGTGACATGACTAAGCTCTCCTGACCACCAGTGACATGACTAACAGCTCTCTGAACCTTGACATGACTGATAGCACCTTAACAGCTCTCTGACCCACAGTGACTGTCTGACAGCACTAACAGCTCTTCTGACCACCAGTGACAGATAACAGCACTAAAGCTCTCCTGAACCACCAGTGACATGACTGACAGCACTAACAGCTCTCTTGCACCAGTGACCATGACTGACAGCACTAACAGCTCTCTGACCACCAGTGACATGATACTAAGCTCTCTGACATCAGTGACTTGGACTAGCTCTCCTGACCATCGTGAATGACTAAGTTCCTGACCCATCAGTGAATGACTATCTCTCTGCACCAGTGACAATGACTAGAGCCTCCTGACGCCAGTGACATGTCTGACAGCACTAAAGCTCACCTGACCACCAATGTCATGTCTGACGCACTAACAGCACACTCCTGACCGCACCAGTGACATGATTGACACACTAAAGCTCTCCTGACCACCAGTGACATGATTACCAGCAATAACAGCTCTTCTGACACCAGTGACCAATGACTAACAGCTCTCCTGAACCACCAGGACATGTCTAGCCAGCTCTCCTGACGCCAGCAGTGACTTGGTCTGACAGCACTAACATACTCACCTGACCACCAATGACATGTTGACAGCACTACAGTTCCTGACCACCTGTGACATGATTACCAGCACTAAACAGTTCTCTGACCACAGTGGACATGATTAACAGCAATAAACAGCTTCCTGCCACAGTGACATGATTACAGCTCTTCTGATCACATGTGACATGGATAAAACAGCACAACTGCTCTCTGACACCAGTGACATGATTAACAGCAATAACAGCTCTCGACACCAGTGATTGACTCACAGTCTCCTGACCACCAGTAACATGACTGGACAGACTAAACAGTTCTCCTGACCACCGTGACATGACTAAGCTCTTCTGACCAGTGACATGACTGACAACACTAACAGCTCTCCTGACCACCAGTGACATGACTGACAGCACTAGCATCTCTCCTGACCACCAGTGACATGACTAAGCTCTCCTGACCACCAGTGACATGACTAACAGCTCTCCTGACAACCAGTGACATGACTGATAGCACTAACAGCTCTTCTGACCACCAGTGACATGACTAACGGCACTAACAGCTCTCCTGACCACCAGTGACATGACTGACAGCACTAACAGTTCTCCTGACCACCAGTGACATGACTGACAGCACTAACAGCTCTCCTGACCACAAGTGACATGACTAAGCTCTCCTGACCATCAGTGACATGACTAAGCTCTTCTGACCACCAGTGACATGACTAATCTCTCCTGACCACCAGTGACATGACTAACAGCTCTCCTGACGCCAGTGACATGTCTGACAGCACTAACAACTCTCCTGACCACCAGTGACATGTCTGACAGCACTAACAGCTCTTCTAACCACCAGTGACATGACTAACAGCACTAACAGCTCTCCTGACCACCAGTGACATGCCTGACAGCACTAACAGCTCTCCTGACCACCAGTGACATGACTAAGCTCTCCTGACCATCAGTGACATGACTAAGCTCTCCTGACCATCAGTGACATGACTAAGCTCTCCTGACCATCCAGTGACATGACTAAGCTCTCCTGACCACCAGTGACATGACTAATTCTCTCTGACACCAGGGACTGGACTAGCGTCTCCTGATTGCCAGTGACATGTCTGACAGCACTAACAGCTCACCTGACCACCAGTGACATGTCTGACAGCACTAACAGCTCTCCTGACCACCAGTGACATGATTAACAGCAATAACAGCTCTCCTGACCAACAGTGACATGACTAACAGCTCTCCTGATCACCAGTGACATGATTAACAGCACTAACAGCTCTCCTGATCACCAGTGACATGATTAACAGCACTAACAGCTCTCCTGACCACCAGTGACATGATTAACAGCAACAACAGCTCTCCTGACCACCAGTGACATGACTAACAGCTCTCCTGCCCACAGTGACTGATTAACAGCATAACGCTTCTGACCCACCAGTGACATGATTAACAGCAACAACAGCTCTCCTGACCACCAGTGACATGACTAACAGGTCTCCTGACCACCAGTGACATGATTAACAGCACTAACAGCTCTCCTGATCACCAGTGACATGATTAACAGCTCTAAAAAGCTCTCCTGACCAACAGTGACATAGATTAACAAGTAATAACAGCTTTCTCCTGACCACCAGTGACATGATTAACAGCACTAACAGCTCTCCTGATCACCAGTGACATGATTAACAGCACTAACAGCTCTCCTGACCAACAGTGACATGATTAACAGCAACAACAGCTCTCCTGACCACCAGTGACATGATTAACAGCACTAACAGCTCTCCTGACCACCAGTGAGATGATTAACAACAATAACAGCTCTCTTGACCACCAGTGACATGACTAACAGCTCTCCTGATCACCAGTGACATGACTAACAGCACTAACTGCTCTCCTGACCACCAGTGACATGATTAACAGCACAACAGCTCTCCTGACCACCAGTGACATGATTAACAGCAATAACAGCTCTCTTGACCACCAGTGACATAATTAACAGCACTAACAGCTCTCCTGACCACCAGTGACATGATTAACAGCAATAACACCTTCTGTCAGTGTTCTAGCAGTAAGTAGGTACCTGGGTGTTAGTTACACCTTCTGTCAGTGTTCACCTAGCAGTAAGTAGGTACCTGGGTGTTAGTTACACCTGCTGTCAGTGTTCACCTAGCAGTAAGTAGGTACCTGGGTATTAGGTAACTGGTGTGGGTGGCATCCTGGGGGACAAAACTGACCAAATTTGCCTGAAATGCTGTACATAAGCAGGAACTCTACAGTACGTCCTGGGTGTGAGTTATGGTCTGTATAAGTTGCATCATGTGATGCTGGAAATAAACAACATTAATTAAGATACTGCTAGACTGTAATAAGATAAAATAAGGACTACAATAGAAATAAGTTACTTTGACTTTTTTGTGTTATCTTGGTGGGTAATTTACATTATGTATGATAACTATTTGTGCCTATATAAACTTATTTATTTAAATAAGCTTATTAACACATTTATTTAACTTATTTAAACTTATTAATACACTTATTTAGGTTGTCAAGGGAAAGAGGGCAAAAGTTTCCATGTATTAATTGTGATTTAAGTGCTTTTGATCCAGGGAACTTGCAGCTACCTTTTATACGCACATATCACACCTCATTAACGCCCATCGCTTCCCCCCTGGAGGTGCATGGCCCCTACAGGTTTACCGTCTGGCCATAAATCACTAAAATAATTGAAGAAGTTGGCACTCCTGTAGAGGTGTGCACGTGCGCACTCATGGAGAAAACCTCAGTGTTAAGGAAACTTTGTGGCAGGAAGAGTTATTTACGTACAAAGTACAGCATAACATACAAAGTACAGCATAACGTATGTGGCATGCAAAGAGTACGTAACCTTTATTCGGCGCATGTACACACCCTCATTTACAGGCTACCTCCCCCAACCAGCGAACAAGGTTGCTGAGAGTTGATGATGGGGCCCCATCGTTCAACTAGTGACCAGGTTCTAGCCAATAAGAAGATGGTTTTGGCAATCGCAGAGGTTATGTGGGTACCACTCTCCTGTCTGCCCTTGTCATTCCCATTCTAGAGCTGGTTGAAGCACGATCTGCTGTCTTGTGGCTTCTATTTCTGCCTTGCTTACCGTGGAGTGCACTATACTTATCTCTGTACATAGTGTGGTAAGACTTCTACCAGGTACGTTATTATTATTATTATTATTATTATTATTATTATTATTATTGTTGGTAAGACTACTACCAGGTACGTTACTTAATTTTATTATTATTATTATTATTATTATTATTATTATTATTATTGTTGTTAGTTAGACTTCTACCAGGTACGTTATTTATTATTATTATTATATTGTATGTGAGGGGGTGCCTGGGACCGGGAAAAAAGTGGTTTTTGGGGGAGGTTGTGGGTTTTTTCGGGCCCCGGTTTTGAAGGGGCCGGGTTTTTTTTATTTTGGTGTGGGGGGGTTTTTTTCTTAAAAATTGGGAAACCTTTTTTTATTTTTTTTTTTTATTATTTTTTATTTTGTGCTATTTAAAGGTGATAAATTTTTTAATTTTTTTTTTTTTTAATTTTTTAAGTTTCTTGAAAAAATTTTTAATTTTTTAAAATCCTTTTGTTAATTTTTTTAAAGGGGTTTCTTTTCTTTTTTTATTTTTTTTTAATTTTTTGGGATTTAAAGGGGTTTTTTATTTTTTTTATTTTTTTTTTAAATTTTTTTTTTTTTTATTATTTTTTTTAAATTCCCTATTTTTTTTTTAATTTTTTAATTTTTGTTGGGAATTTTGGTCTTATTATTTTTTTTTTTTTTAATATTTTATTTTTTTTGGTAAAAATTCCGGCATTTTTTTTTTTTTTTTTTTTTGGTTTGACACCCGGGGTTTTTTTTTTAATTTTTTTTTATTTTTTATTTTTTTTTTTTTTTGGGAAATCTCCCTTTTTTTTTTTATTTTTTTTTTTTTTTAATATTTATTTTTTTTTATTTTTTTTTTTTATTTTTTTTTTTATTTTTTTTCTCCTTTTTTTTTTTAAAATTTTTTTTTTTTTTTTTTTTTTTTATTTGTTTTAAGCTTCAGGGAATTTTTTTATTTTTTTTTTTAAATTTTTAAGGGGGGACTACGTTAAATTTTTATTTTATTTTTTATTATTATTTTTTATTATTATTTGTTGTTTGGTAAGACTACTACCCGGGACTTTTTTATTTTATTTTTATTATTATTTTATTATTATTATTTTTTTTTGAAAAAAGGTTTTTTTTTTTTTTTTAATTTTTTAAATTATTTTTTTTAAAAATTTCCGGTACGTTATTATTATTATTATTATTATTATTATTTTGTTGTTGTTGGTTAAGACTATCCAGGTACGTTTTATTTTATTATATATTATTATTATTTTTATTATTTTGTTTGGTAAAACTACTACCGGTAGTTATTATTATTTTTATTTTATTTTTTTTTTATTATTATTGTTGTTTGGGAAGCTATACAGGTACTTTATTATTATTTTATTTTATTATTATTATTATTATTATTTTGGTAAGACTATACAGGTACGTTTTTTATTATTATTATTATTATTATTTTATTATTATTATTATTTTTATTGTTGGGAAGATACTACCAGGTACGTTATTTTATTTTTTATTATTGTTGTTGGGGAAGACTATACCAGGCGTTATTTTTTATTATTTTTTTATTTTTATTTTTATTGTGGTAAGATACTACCCGGTCGTTTTTTTTTATTATTTTTATTTTTTATTATTGTTGTTGGTAAAACTACTACCAGGTCGTTTTATTATTTTTTATATTATTTTATTTTTTTATTATTATTTTGTTGGGATAAGACTTACTACCAGGTCGTTTTTATTATTATTATTTTATTATTATTAATTGTTGTTGGTAAGATATAAGGTCGTTATTATTTTATTTTATTATTATTATTATTTTATTATTGTTGGGAAGACTATACCCGGTACGTTATTATTATTATTTTAATTATTATTATTATTTTTTTATTGTTGTTGGTAAGATATACCAGGGGTTATTTTATTATTATTATTTTTTTTATTATTATTATTATTATTGTTGGTTAAAGACTACTACCCGGTACGTTATTTTTTATTTTTATTATTATTTTATTATTTTATTTTTATTATATTGTTGGTTAGGACTACTACCGGTACGTTATTATTATTATTTATTTTTTATTTTAAATTTTTGTTGGTAAGACTACTACCAGGTACGTTATTTTATTATTTTTATTATTTTTATTTTTGTTGGGAAGATACTACCAGGTATGTTATTATTATTATTATTTTTTTTATTATTATTTTTGTTGTAAGTACTACCAGGTTTGTTTTATTTATATTATTATTATTATTATTATTATTATTATTATTATTATTGTTGGTAAGACTACTACCAGGTATGTTATTATTATTATTATTATTAATGTTGGTAAGACTACTACCAGGTACGTTATTATTATTATTATTATTATTATTATTATTATTATTGTAATGTTGGTAAGAACTCCCCCGGGGTACATTAATTATTATTATTATTTTTGGGAAATGTTGGGTTTTAGCCCAATAAAGGTACGTTTTTAATTTTTTTTTTTATTTTTGTAATGTTGGTAAAAACCACTCCCGGGTTTACTTTAATTTATTATTATTATTGTAATGTGGTTAAGCCCCCCTACCGGGTTTACTTTAAATTTTTATTATTTTTTATTGTAATAATAGTGTAGGGTTTGTGGGAAAGGGGTTACGAAAAGCAGGGGAAAGAGTTTTTGCGGGGGGATAGTGGGGGCCCCCCCCCCCCCCCCCCCCCCCCCCCATTTTTAGAGTATGTAGGAAAGAGGGAATTTTTTTTCCCCAGAAAAAGGTAGGCCCTTAGAAAAGGATGTGTGATGCCCACCGTGGTTTTTTAAATTATATTTTAATAGATGGGGTTTTGAAAAGGGAGAAGTAAATCCCGGGGGTTCTTGGCAAGGGGGCGTGGATTTAAAAAGAAAAAGGAATCCCCAACAAGTGGGAGTTGTCACAGCTGCTTTTTGTTGAGGGACACTGGGGCTTTTGGGGGAGTTTCTGAAGGGAAGTTGCAGAGATTGGTGGATGAATTTGGAAAGGGGGTGTGCAAAAAAAGGGGAAAATTAAAGGGGGAATACGGGAAAGAGAAAGGTTTTATGAGGTTTAACCCAAAAAGATTAGGGTGAGAAAGATTGAATATCAGATTGGGGGGGGGGAAAAGGTTATGGAGGAGGTGATGTATTCAGATTTTTGGGGACGTGGACGTGTCAGGGGGTTGGGGTCTAGGGAAAGAAGGGGAGGTAAAAATCAAAAAATTTGGGATGGGGGGAAAAAAGGGGTGAGTGGGGGAAACTTGGGGATTTCGGGGGAGAAAAAGGAAATTTTGTCCTTGGAGGAAAAGAGGGGAATTTTATGGGGTTTATAGTTTTCCCAAAACCGCTCTTTATGGGTGGTAAAAGCGGGGGTTGTTTAATGTTGCAGCGAGGGAGAAGGCGGGAGGCAGTGGAGATGTCTTGTCTGAGGGAAATGTGGGTTGGAAAATTTGTAAATATAAGGGCAGAGAATTCGTAGTTTGGAAGTTAGGAGGGGGTGGGGGAAAACCCCAAACAATGTTGTCCAGGGGGGCTGAGGAAGGTTGTTGGGGGTTTTGGTTTTGGGACATTTTAGAAAAGAATTGGACCCAAAACAGAATGACTTTCCAAGAGTGTTAAAGTCTGTAGGGAAAAGGAAGGGGGGTAGGGGTTGGGTTTAAAAAAGGGTTTGGGGGGGGGGGAAAAGGGAAAAGGTTTTGTTTGGGTCGGGGGTTGGATTTCCCCAGGGGGCATCCCGGTGAGCGTGTTTGTTAGGTTGTGAATGGAGAAAAATGGTTTTTAAAAACTTGACTTTGCTGTTGGAGTGTGAGCAAAGTAAACATTTTAAAGGGGTTTTTTCCGGGGGAAAGGGCCCGGCCGGCCCTTGATTTGGAGGGGGAAAGTCCCAGTGCCTGCACTTAAAGGGGGGAAGGGGGGTGTTAATTTTTGCGTTTAAAAATTTGTAGGGGAAAGACCTTCTGGAAAACAGTGATGGAGGGAAAAGATGGTGAAAGTTTTTTTTTTTTCGGGCCCCCTGCCTTGGGGGGAAATTTGGGGCCGGTGTGATAATAAAAAAAAAAATATTATTGTAATTTTTGGTAAGACACTACCAGGTACTTTAAAATTATTATTTTATTATTTAATTTTGGGAAGACCCTCCCGGTACTTTTAATTTTTAAATTTTTATTATTGAAATTTTTGGGTAAGCCCCACTACAGGTAGGGAAATTTTATTATTATTTTTTTGGGAATTTTTTTTAAGCCCCATACCGGTACGTTAATTATTATTTTGTAATGAGGGCCCCTTATTGCTGGCTTTTTTATGTTTATTATTGTAATTTTGGGGTTTATTGCTGGGTTTTTTATTTTTAGGGATTTTGGGTTTTTAAAGGAGTGGGAGCCCCTTTCCCTTTCCCTCAGATAAAGGGCCCTTATTGACAAACCCACTGGCATGTTGGGCCCCATACGGGTTTTTGCGTTTTCCCTTTGGGATTATAAAATTTTAAATGTTTATTTTAAAAACCCCTAATGTTTAATAATAAAAATAAAATTTGAAAATTTAAAAAATTCTAATTTAATGAAGTATAATAATATAAATATTATATAATGACTAAATAATATAATTATAAAAAATTTTTTTTAATTTTAAAATAATGACTTTTAAAAAAAGAAAAGGGTTTTAAAAATAAAATAAATTTTATTATGGTTAGGGTTGATATTATTTTTTTTTTATGATGAATTTTTATTACCCAAAGCTATAATTATTGACAGTCTAAAATTTTTTTTTGTTAATTGTTGGGTTATGATTTTTTAAACCCGAAAATTTATTAGGGTATTGAAAAAAACCGAAGGCAATTATTGTAAATGGAACAATACAAAAAAATAAAACACACACTTTGATATACCTTTGAAAAATTTTCCCAAAGATTTATATCTCCTCTCTCAGCTGGCCATGGGCCAGGGTGTCTGGGGTCACCTGGTTTTAACCCGGTGTTGCTTTCTGGAGACCCCCCCCTCTGCCCCCCTTTTCCATCACGCCCCGGGTTTATCACAGGGGAGACAAAACCCCACGGGCGATGT